ATTTTTTTTAGATGTTGGGGGTAGGAGTTTATTAATTTATTTTTGCTGTGTTGCGTCTTCATATCTGTGCGAGGGCTTTCTCTAGTTGTGGCAAGCGGGGGCCAGTCTTCATCACGGTGCGTGGGCCTCTCACTATGGCGGCCTCTCTTGTTGTGGAGCACAGGCTCCAGACGCGCAGGCTCAGTAGTTGTGGCTCATGGGCCTAGTTGCTCCACGGCATGTGGGATCCTCCCAGACCAGGGCTTGAACCCGTGTCCCCTGCAGTAGCAGGCAGATTGTCAACGACTGCACCACCAGGGAAGCCCCACTATTTGTTTTTTTGAGTCTGGCTATTTCACAGAACATGTTTTCCGTGTTTACCCATGTTGTAGTATGTATCATTTCATTCATCTTATTGTGGTTTTGATTTTCATTTCCCTGATGATCAGTGATGTTGAGCATTTTTTCATGTATTTATTGGTCATTTGTGTATCTTCTTTGGAAAAATGTGTATTCAAGTCTCTTGCCCATTTTAAAATTGGGTTGTCTTTTTGTTGAATTGTAGGTGATCTTTACATATTCTGGATATTAAACCCTTACCAGATATCTGACTTGCAAAAAATGTTCTCCCTTTCTGTGGGTTGTCTTTTCATTCTCTTGATAATTTCCTTTGATGCACAAATTAAAAAATTTTTTTAGGAAGTCCTAAAAAAAATGTTTAGACCTATGTTTTTTCTTTTGTTGTGTGCCTTTGTTGTCATATCTAAGAATCCATTGCTAAATCCATAGTCATGAAGATGTACCCAAATGTTGTATGTACCCCTTATAAGAGTTTTGTGGATTTACCTCATATTTAGATCATCAATCCATTTTGCATTAATCTTTGTATATGGTGTGAGGCAGGGGTCCAAATTCATTCTTTTGCATGTGGAAATCCAGTTGTCCTGGAACTATTTGTTGAACAGAGAATTCTTCCTCATTGAATGGCCCTGACACCCTCATTGAAAATAAACTGGCCAAAGGGGTGTGGGCTTATTTCTGGATTCTCATTTCTATTCCATTGGTCTGTAGGTCTATCCTTATACCAGCATCACACTGTTTTGATTACTGAAGCTTTGTAGTAAGTTTTGAAATTGGGAAATGTGAGTCCTCCAATTTTGTCTTTCTCTTTTCATGATTTGTTTGGCTATTTGGGTCCCCCTGCAATGCCATATAAATTTGATAATTGGCTTTTCCATTTTCGCAAAAAGGCTCTTAGAATTTTGATAGGGATTGCATTAAATCTGTAGATCACTTTAGGTATTATTGACATCTTAACAATATTGTCTCCCCATCCATAAACACAAGATACCTTTCCATTTATTTATTCTTTAATTTTTTAATCAATGATTTGTAGTTTTCAGTGTACAAGTCTTCTCCTCCTTGGTTAAGTTTATTCCTAGGTATTTTATTCTATCAATTCTGTTGCAAATGAAATTGCTGTCTTAATTTCCTTTCTGTAATGTTAATTAATTGCTGGTATAGAGAAACAACTGATTTTCGTGGGTTGATCTTGTAATGCTGCAACTTTGCTGATTTTATTAGTTCTGGCATCTTTCTTGTGGATTCTTTGGGAGATAAATATTATTAGCTGTGGGTTTTTCACCAATGCCCTTTATCGTGTTGAGGAAGTACCCCTCTAGTTTATTGAGTTTTTATCATTAAAGAAGGTTGGATTTTGTCAAATTTTTTTCTGCAGCAGTTGGAACAATCATACAGTTTTCTCCCCTTATTCTATTAATGTGAGGTATTACATTGACTTTCGTAGGCTGAACCACCCTTTCACTCTTGGGGTTGTGACAGTCTTTTAAACTTTATTCTACCTGGTGTGTGGTGGTATCTCAGTTCTAATTTGCATCTTGATGACTAATGATATTCAGCATCTTTTCATGTGCTCATTAGCCATTTGTATATATATATATTTTTGAAAGGGGTGTTCAAAGTTTTTAAATGGGTTGTCATAATATTGAGTTGCATGAGATCTTTACATATTTTGAATACAAGGCCTTTACTAGATAAACGTATTGTGAATTTTCCCCCAATCTTCAGCTTGCTTTTTCATTTTCCTAACCATGTTCAAAGAGCATGTGCTTTAAAAGTCCAGCTAATCCTTTTTTTTTTTTTTATGGTTTGTGTATTTTGAGTTCTAAGAAATCTTTGCTTACTCAAAGGTTACAAGGATTCTCTCCTGTTTTGTTTTAGAAGTTTTATAGCTTAGATCCATTTATTTCAAGTTAAGTTTTGTGTTGTGTGAGGCAAAAGTCTAAGGTAATTATATTCCCCAGTGGGATATACAGTTGTTCCAGCAATTATTTGTTGAAGACTTCCTTTCCCCCTTTGAATTGCCTTGGCACCTTTGTAGATCACTGAACACATACGCGTGGATTTCCTTTTGCCATACCATGGTTTGATTACTGCAGCATTTGGTTCTGAAATCTGGAAGTACAAGTCCTCCAGTTTTGTTCTAACAAGTTCACTGTCTTCTAGGGCACATGCATCTCCAAACATTTTAAAATCAGCCTGTCAACTTGTAAAAATTGCTGCAATTCTGATAGGGATTGTTGTCAGGTCTATGGATCAATATTGTTTTCATAAAATGAATTAGCAAGTATTTTCTCCTTTTTGAAGAGTGTTTTGTTGGATGGGTATTATTTCTTACTGAAATGATTGCTAGAATTTACTGGAGAAGCATCTGGACCTGCAGTTCTGCGAGAAAGTTTTCAATTGTGCTATTTAGTGCTATTCAGACTTTCAATTTTGACGAAGGCTCTAGCCAAGCAGTTTTCTACTCCTGGAAAGCCCACCCGCTATTAATGCCACAAATGCTAACTAGAGGCAAAAAGTAATACTCACTAGAATTTTGGCTGGGAGAAAAGATTCCTGTCTATCAAGTTGCTATGCAGGTGGCCTAGAGAGAATTTTACTTTTCCTCCTAAAAAAGCATGACACGTAGGGAGGAATGAGCTCAAGTTTCTATCCCCATGAGTAGTAGTATCCTATATTTCTTCATTTTTTTTTCCCCCTTTCACAAATATATTTACCTTACCAGACACTAACTTCTTTAAGCTGGTACCATTTCTTGTTTCGAGAGCCCCAGCACCCAGCTCAGTGCTTGGCACACTGCAGACATTCCAATGTTTGTCAAGGTACAGAGAGTAATAAACACTGTTGCTCATGGTTCTGCACTGTTCTCGGGGCAAGAGACAAGAGGTTGATTTCAGGACTTACTCTTCTCAGGACCAGGAAGAAGAGATGCCCAGTAGCCTATACCAAGAGAGATTTAAAAGCTACTAGAATTCCTTAAAGAAAATTCCTTAGTACATGAGGCTCACCAAATGTTTATCCTTGAGGTTATTAAAATAGCAGATGGCACTAGAACTTGTGCCATAAACCCTAGATCACTCTTATTCTTTTTGAGGATGGAGGCAACATGATAGAAGATAAAGTATAATGGCTTCGGGAGTCACAAGACCTGATTTAAAGGATGTGTGTTTACTGATCTAAGTAAGCATCAAATGAATAAATGTGAAAACACTATATACACTTCATAATTAAGTATACAAGGGTGAGTTAATATTAACTGAGCCCATAGAAATGAACAGAGTTATACAGGTCACGTTAGTGGGAACACAAATATTCAGTCTCTCTCTGGATTGGGATTAAATGTCACAAAGTCAGCTTCAGCAAAACAGGTAAAAGGTAAAAGATTTCTTTGTTCTTTTCCCACCTTCCCTCTTTTATTTCTCAATTCCTACCCTTTTCTCCACCCTGCCATTCCAGCAAGATCCAATTCACATCTGTCCTTTCAAAATAAGGCCTACCTTCAAATTTTAAATCCTCTTAGCATAATTCACAGCTCAATATAGTAAACCTCCCAGAGGGATTTGATTTTTAAATTTAAAGGAATGAATTTTTAGAGTGAATTTCGGTTGCTGTTTCGGGCAGATGGGAAGTGTTTTAGAAGCACAGGAGCGTTTACGTAGGGAGCTATTAGGCTACCCAAAGTAATCTACTCGTGGTGCCAGACCAACTTCTGAAATTATTTTACTTTCACTTTAAAGCGGTTTTTCTCAGTACCCAAGGGGTTCAAATAAACTCTCTGAGACATTTTTTTGGTATAGATTTTAAATTACAAGCTTGATCTGTTACCCTCAAATACAGTTCTTAAGGAAGATTAGTTACAAATAGTTGTCAGTGCTTTCAAATGACAGAAAAAATTACATTATAGTAAAACTGGATGATTTTTTTATGCAAGAGATAACAATTTCTCTCATCACCAGATAGAATGACTCCAATTCATGCAATAAATGACAATTACATTTTTAAAAGTTGTCCTAATTTTTCTAGTTGAGATTTCATGCCTATTTTAAATCAAGACATCAATATGCTCCTGAGCTCACCTCACCCTCCCTGGGGAGTAGTGAGGACACACGTGGTTCTTCTGAGACTCAACTGGACTCCACAGAGTACGAAAGTATTATCTCAGTTCTTTCACCTCAGTGTGAAGGTTCCCAGGAAACCTTCAGTTTCAGAAGTAATGGTCCTGGTGGCCAATAGGAAAATATGACATATAGAGTTTTTAGGACTTCAACAGTGACCTAAAAAGGTGAACAGGAGGGAAACTTTGACTTATCTTCACATAAAACCGGCAGAAATCAGCATCATCAAATTTCTGTAACTAGAAATCATGAGGGTAAAACAGAAGAGGTTTGTCTCTGATGGGGATGCCCCTCACAGTAGACTTTGTGAATGTCTTTTACAGAGCCACATAATATAGTACCATCAACATTTTACATATTTACATACAATTTGAATACAAATTCTTAAAATTTATAATAGAACATTAAAATAATCTTCTAATAAAATCAGCCTTAAGTATAAGGAATCTAGATTTCAGTATCTTGTACACTTCTAAATAAATATCTTTGATCTATAATCCTTGAAAATATTATAGTTTATGGTGACATGACACAGACAAGTCAAACAGTATAAGTAAAAATAAAACATCAATTTAAAAATAAACAAGCCTAAAACCACATTGAGCTGAAATTATAGAAAATCAAAACACTAAGTATACAGTAATTAAATATCTAGCATTGGGATAACCAGATGCATGCTAAATGACACAATTTCAACTTCTATAAAAAGCCCTTTAAAAATCATAAGTCTAAATAAATAAGCAGAAACACTAAGGGAGGTACTGTACCAGCCAGTAACAACCAGAAAGAAAACTCTTTTTCTTTCAAATGATCCTCACAGAAAAACATGAAATGATAGTCATTTCCAGAAAACTATAGTTCATGTGTTTTGTTTCTTTTAGAATGCTGCCAATGATATAAAAAGCCAAAGCAAGGCTTCCTAATTGTTAGACCACTGTACCTTAGAAAAGGAAATTGACAGATTTAAATAAAAATCAGACATTTGCCTATTTAAGATATGATTGAATTTTCGCCTAATGACCTCACATTAGGTCTATATCAAGCCCATGATATGAATGCAGATTCAAGCATCTGAATGTATGATCTGTTAATACTGAATTATATATGATGATTTAATTTCATTTGCCAAAGTATTAGTTTATTTTACATAAGGCCAGAATTAAAACATCTAGAGCAGGAATTAATACCTTATTTATCTTTATAGAAGGGTTCTTTGATTCTCAGAACATAATAGGTGCTCAATAAGTATTTACTGAATCGAGATGAATCCAGCATTTATTATATCAGGAAGCACTGAATCCACGATGAAACTGGTTGCCTGACACTCAGAGGGAGCTCTTTAATTTTACCTCTAGGCCTGTGATTAATTTCTGGCTAGTTAATGAAGTTAACTGTCACAGATCTGTCACAGTTTCTTAATTCAGGGCCAAGATTTGTACTGTTCATCTGTTCCACAGTTAAGCCTTCTTGAAAGTTTTGTGGCTGCACATCTATAGTCATGTTGAGAGAATAATCTTTGTTATTCTACGCTGGGTTTTTGCTTATGATAACTGTCTGAAATACACAAGCACACACACACAAACATAATCATTTCACAAATGGAAATCTGGAGAGTGCCCAAAGCCTAAATTACATAGCTCCCAAGGTGAACTAAAAAAAGACATTGAAACTGTAAGGTAACTCTTTTTCATTACACACAAACTTATTGCGTGATGGCTGGAAGCAATGTCTTTGGACAAACGGTTATAAACCACAAGTGTCCTTAGCCATTAGCCTGACAAGGTAGCCCAAAATGGTTTGGCTCCAACACTGCCCTGTTTAATTCTGTAGCTCATTACACTAGGAAACAGCGAGGAGGAGGTGGACATGCTCTCCAAAGACCATTCCTTCCATCCACAGTGCTCAGATCAATATCTGTATCATTATGTGGATTATTCTGAGTTCCTCTGTTTTGCCAGTTAAAGCTGCTGTTTCTGATGTTTGTGGTTCCTCACTGGGGAAGGGAGGCGCATGTTACAGAACTCTTGAAATAAAAGCTATTTAGTTTCACTCTTTGATTCTCACGGCCAGCATGCCTGTCCCTCTTGAATGCTGCTAGGAGAGGTAGATCCAGTGTTTAAGTCCTGCCATTCCCTGCAGTAACTTAGTGTAATAGAAATCCATGTTGTCTGCAAAGTCTGTACAAACAGGTGACTCGGTGTCACCAAAAGTGCAGTATAATGCAGTTCCTCCCACACTAAGGAAAACCGTCGCTATGCACAGCAAGACCAGTAAAATACAGGAACCACCTCCAACTTCATCTGCAAACAGGAAAACAGAGTAAGGTTAAACTGACACAAAATTAATGCCTAGTATCTGCTGTCTGCTCACTGATTAAGATAACTAGATGTTTCTAATATTAGTCCTCTAGGGATAGTCGCTGACAGGAAGCTACGACACCAATGACTATACAAGGACCTATTAGTTACCATAAAGATATATACTTGTAGAGCTTGTGAATGCTAAAATTAAAACTAGCTCATTTATACAATGAATATAACCATTTCCATAAAAAAAGAAGAAAAAAATGGCAATACTTCTCTGATGTGCTCATAGCATTATTTTAGAGTACAAATTATATATAACCTCACTATTACAGTATCTTTGGAGTTCACATCATGGGACCACCTTAAAGCAAAGTCAATTTGATATTAAACAAACAAGCAAAAATGTCTGAGTGGGATCTTGCATCTTAGTAATACTCAATTTTATCTTTCAGTGGAATAGTGAAGTTCTAGCTAGTACAGTAATTTCATTTCTTTTAAAGAAAAATTAAAAATATTTGGAAAAGAATAAGAAGTTTTATGATCAGCATGATGAGGGTGTACCAAAACCTTCTTGGAAGGTAATCTGGCAGTATCTATTAACATTTTAAATTAATTTATCATCCAGCCTGGGGAACTTTTGAGAGTGAAAGAGTGTTAAGTGAATGCAGTGCTGGGACAATAGGTATAAACAAGAAAGGACTGCCTGAGGCCAACTGGTCCATATGGTTCTGATCACCTAGCCTAGCAAATCCACTTTCAGGAATTAAGCCTACAGATCTGCACAAAACACAATAGCATATTTACAAGCATGTTCACTGCAGCAAAGTTTGTTATAACATAAAGTTGAGAATAACTTAGTTATTCTAGTTACAATGGAAGAGTTAAATAATTATGGGAGATTCATATCATGGAATACTATGCAACTGTTTTACAGAATGAAGTAAATTTAATACATCGTTCAAAGAAAGATGTCCAAGATTGATGGTTAAATTAAAAAGCCATGACATAACGGTATATAATGAACCATTCATGTTAAAAAAAAAAGGGCACATGTGTATGTACACACATATACATGCATATATACAGAATGTGTTTTGAAAGGATGGTAAGAACTTCAATCAATACCTGGGGGAAACCCCCAAGGGAGGGAGGGTTGGGAGCCTTAAACTTTCTACTTCATTATTGTCTAAGTTTTTTCATGATTAGTGCATATTACTTTTATGATTAAAAAAACAAATTTTACAGAACTCAATATAAACCAAATAGAATTTATTTGGAAGATTTTACAGTAATATGTGAATATATTCTCCCCATAAAAATTTAAACATGAAAGTATCTAAGAGTCTAAGGGACTCTTCCCTTTTACTCCTACCCAATCATATTCCCCTCTCAACCAAGAGGTAAACACTGTTAAATATGGTGTGTATCCTTCCAGATCAAACACATGTGGTTTCAGGATTTTTATAGAAACAGGATTATGTAATTGTATTGTCCTGTGATTTACACATTTACAGTTTAATAGATTTTAATAGTTAATAGACATTAATAGATTTAATAATTTATACTTAGCAGAATTTTTATACACACAAATAAAAAGGATCATATTCATGTTGTGTTTCTTGGGGTTTTTTTTGTTTTTGGTCAGTTCAGTATTTTTACCATCTTTTCTCTTTTGGCATGATTCCCACCCACCCTCTTATCTTTGTTAACAATCTAGTTTATGTATTTTTCTGGGTATTTCTTCATTCTCATATATTTATATACGAACATTTAGATACAATTTATTTTAAAACATCTATTCTGTTTTAACTACATGCACTGATAGTATTTAGAGCTGTGCTGTCCAACATGCAAGCCAGGAGGCACAGGCGGCTACTGAGCACAAGTTACGTGACTTAGTGTAAGACGAGATGGCTACTAAGGGAACTAGGGACTGTCAGTTCTAAATCCTGGGTTCCCCCTACTATGTATGCAATGATTCAATACCAATTGGTACAAACAAAGAATTGAGCACTTTATCTGGAGAGGACTGTGATAGTTACAAGCAAGGTGCAGAGGTAAAATGAGGGGTGGGAACAGATTATTTCCAAGGTTCCTACCAGCTTTATAATTGTAAAAATTTAGAAACCTCTACTGCTATCACTTTATGTCATATTTAGAAAGCGTATCTACACGTTGACACTGTTATTTTAACAATGCAGTTGTTTTATAAACATGAAAAGCATACTGACAGGTTCTTGGCTATATTTCTACTCACTCTGATTTACCTAGGCCTTAGACAAATTTAACCACCACCTTAAATATAAGCCCAGGAGGAAAAAAATCAAACAATAGCAACAGTGTTAAACTGTACTCTTTTTTTTTTTTTTTTTCCGGTACGCGGACCTCTCACTGTTGTGGCCTCTCCCGTTGCGGAGCACAGGCTCCGGACGCGCAGGCTCAGCGGCCATGGATCACGGGCCCAGCCGCTCCACGGCATGTGGGATCTTCCCGAACCGGGGCACGAACCCGTGTCCCCTGCATCAGCAGGCGGACTCTCAACCACTGCGCCACCAGGGAAGCCCTAAACTGTACTCTTGAGAGACACCTCTTTCTACAGAGTCAAGAAGAAATCACCGAAGAGAAAATATTTGTAATCCATAAATATTTTCCACATCAGTCAAGAAGGAGTATGAACTGCCACTGAAAAGAAGACAAAAATAGCAGGCTCACTAAAAAACACCAAACAAAAACTAGAAAATAAAACACGAAACAAAGAAACTGAAATAAGCTCTGAAAATTGAGGACTATCTGTGGGACAGGAAGGCAATGAGATGAATTTTGCAACTTGCTCACTTATTTGAGCAAAACAAATTGCTTAGGAATTATTTAAGAACTGATGATAGTTTGATCCTCTGTGTTTCTTTACAGAAGATAAAGCAACTAAGTCCACATATTCTTTACAAATCCTGTTACCAAACACCTTATTGTACGTTAATTCATTCTTTCAGCAAACACTGATCAAATCTGTGTTAGACACAGTCTGAGCACTTTACCTTGATCTAAGCTGTCGTCTATTTCTTGGAATCTCACTCTTCGCTTAGATGGTTTCTGTTGCATCTGGGCAGGATGATCTCCTACAGTATTATTCCTCTTCTTTAATATAGAGACCAATCCTTCAGCATGAACAACCTGTCAGAGATTGTAAGCACTGTTTGTTATATTATGGCGGGACATATCAGTGATGTTTTACATGTAATGGTAAGAAGGCTAATTCAGTTCAAGGGGCATCTGAAGTCCTATTAGAGGTTTCACCAATTCCTATAGAAAAAAATCACAGTCGTCAAAGTCTAGCAGAATAATACTTTCTCTTGTCTTCAGGCATTGCCAAATACACATATCTAAAACTCTGACTGCTCTTCTAAAGCCCTGAATTGATTCCAGGGCCAGGCAGTGTGACACAGCATGGACTGGAAATCAGGCCTAGTTTATCCTCATTTATAGCTCCGCTTCCCTGTTAAGTCATCTATAAAGTGATTCTTTATGGCCTCTCTTTGCTTAACCATTAGTCCTGGGTTTTGCTTTATAACAGAGGCTGCTTTTTTCATTCATCAGCAATTTTTAAGAAATGAACACGTGAGGCTTAAAATATATTCGATACCAACTTTTAACATCAAAATGAGTGTTGTCCTCAGTTCCTCTGAGAAACTACACATTTACTAAATAATGTTCTAGTGCTCTAAATGTCTTAAGGACTTCTCTTCTAGAATATCTCTTAGACCCAGTTTACTAGGAACATATTACCCTGTAGTATGCAGAGGGTGGCAAACTATGGCCACTAGGCCAAAGGCCTGCTGCCTAGTTTTGCAAATAGAATTTAATTGGAGCACAGCCAAGGTTACTTATCCACATATTGTGTATGGCTGCTACAACGGCAGAATTGAGTACAGACCATAAAGTCTAAACTATTCAGTATTTGGCCCTTAGAAAAAGAAAAGAAATAGAAAAAGACTTCTATTATTTCTTTAGTCCCCCTGCTACCCCTTTCTATGCTGTCTTTCCAGTTTTCACTTGGGACACCTATCTTCTGCCTCCACCCCACCCTTTATTTAGGAACAAAGACAAAACAGAAACCCTTGCCATTTAGGAGTTAAAAGACTCTGAGGCACAGGGAGAAAGAGAACAGAATCAGTTGGTAGAGCCAACTGGGAAGCTGGAGGCCTTACCATAGGCCCCCCTAGGCAGTAGGTTGATTCACAGAAGTTGACTTGTGAGTTGCCTGCTTGAACAAGCTGTAGGTGATGACATAGGTGGGCATTGTGGCCCTAACACTGCTGATGTCAGTGACTTGCTGGTATCCGATCACTGTAAGCTGAGGACTTCCTGTAATGTCATTTATCAGATCAATGGTATAAAATATTTAATATGACTTCCAGTTCCAGCCAGCCACCTCTGATAATGAGCTATACATAAACATTACAGATTCTATTAGTTCTTTTTATAACTCAACGCTTTTAGGGCCAAATAACTCAATATAGTCTTCTACTGGGCTTCCCTGAACATGGGTCTATAGAAACCATTACCTCAAAAAAAAAAATAAGTTAGCAATTTATTCTTTTTATAGAAAATATGTATTTCAGATGATGTAGTTCTTCTGAGAAAGCTAAAATACTTTAGTGACATTAAAGTGATAAGTACAAATTATGCAAAGGAATAGTTTTTCAAATCTTTCATTAGAAAGCAACAATATTAAAGACCATCTTCATACAGCAAAGAAAAATGATTTTACAAGTACCTTGCTGAAACTGGGTACTTGAAGGGAAAGAAATCCTAATAAGTTTCTAAAGAGCAAGACATAGAAAATAATTTTAATAAGTATATTACTACTAAAGATATATCATTGACTTTTTAAATTTTTAGTAAATGCAAAAAAAAATAGGAACTTTTCATAGATTCATTCACTATCTATTTCATTCCATAAAATAGTACATTTACCAAGAGTGAATTCACCTACCATAGGTGTTTTGAAGTTGCTTTAACTACTTAGAAAAAACAATCCTATTAAGAATAGTTACAAAGACAAGCTCCAGAGTTGCATTACTGTTAACTGTATGTCTTTATGATCTGAGTTTTGAATCTGTAAATTCAAGAGACAGACCCAATAATAAATCAAAAGACACTGCAAATATGAATAAATGGATGTTGAAAGACCAAGAGAAACTCTCAAAATCATCTGGAAAGACACAGAATGTGCTTCCAAGACCTAGAAGCTAGTCCTAGTGCAGCAGCTGTTAGGCCCCTACCTCCTGCTTGCCCTAATCTGGTGTGTTGGGCTCCAGAAGTCATATAGTTAAGGGATACAAGATTTCCCAAGTGGCCCCATCTTATTTACTATGGATGGCAATGAACTTTGGCAAATTTTTGAAAAAGGGAAGAAGTAAGAGTATGAGACATTACAGTTGTGTGGGATGAGCCAACATTTTATCTTGACACCCTCCCCACTCAACCCTTAATTCCTGGCAAAAAATCTATCCACAGCCTTTACATGCTTTTCCTTTTTCTCTCCCACCAAGAATCTTTTGTTTCAGCAGGCCTGCTCCAGTGTCTGAAGTGAAGGAATGTGTTCTTTTCCATTATTTCCTTTCAGTCTTATTCAGGGATCTTCTCCAGGGATCTTTCTTTTTTTAACTGCCCTCTTGTCCTATAGTTTATAGGGATGGTGGGACCAAGTTTAGGCATAGGAGATGCAAGCCAAGGGGGAAATTCTTAGAAGACAGGTGGGTGCGGTCCTTTCTGTTCTGACAAGAGTTTGGGGCAAGCGTCTTAGAACCTACCCCTAGTACAAAAATTCCTACTTATCATACCAAGACGGTCAAACAAAAAGAAATGACTTTGGTACAGTTTACCTTAATTTTATGGTAGAAGGCAAGTAAGTTAAAACAAAGTCATGGTCTTAGTCTACAGTCTCATTCAGAAGACTGCCAAGTGTTCCTAAGTAGGTTGGGAAGTTGAGTTAGGGCACATAGAAATGTGTCTTCTCCAAACTACTCTTAAAAAACATTTCTATGCCTTTTAATTTTTTAACATAATGTCAATATTAAAAGGTTAAGAAACTTTAAACCTCAAAAAATAAAGCTTTAAAAACTAAATTTAGGGAATTCCCTGGCAGTCTAGTGGTTAGGACTCCACGCTCTCACTGCTATGGGCCTGGGTTCAATTCCTGTTCAGGGAACTAAGATCCCACAAGCCGCATGGTGCGGCCAAAAAAAAAAGTTAAAAAAAAAAACAAACTAAATTTAGTTTCCCACTTCAATTACCAAATTCCTTTCCTACCAAAACAAAGTATACCAAGCCTTTACACTGAGAACAAAAAGATTGTCTAAGCTGTAATTAGTGTAATTGTTACTGGTGGTACTCTATGAATAAGTGCAGAATTAAAACAAATAATGAAACATCCATCCGACCTAGCCCTGTATATTTATAAATAAATAGCTCTTCTGCACTTCCCCCTCAAACAGCAATGATCATCTTAAATAGCATTTTAATAATGATCTGTTTGTAAAAACAGAATTATTCTGCAACTCTGCTGGCACATTCAGAGAGGCCCTGCTGTTAGATCTGCCTCCTCAAATTAAAGGAGAAAATAGATACCAAATAATATTCTTTTACTGATCAAGGCTTTACTCAACCCAGAAACTCAAGGTTGGTAAATTTTGCTTGGTTTCCAGATAACTTGAGAAATAACATTCATAAATCATATTAGTATATTACAAACAGCTTAAATGCCAGCAATTTCACTGTAGAGAATGAAATTCTGGTCATTCAATGTCAAATGTTTTTTGTTTTTTTTTTTCCAATGTCAAATTTTCCAGTACTATTCTTCACTGAAGGAACAAGTCATGGTTCTCTGCCTGGTCCTTTAGATTTGGGCTCCATAATAAGAACTATGATTTAGTGAACCTGCACTTTATGTAAAGACCTTTACATAATATTTCATACTTAATCTTTACAACTCTATTATACAGGCATTACCAGTCCTATTTTACACATGAAGAGGCCAAGCTGAGAAAGCTTAAATAACTTGTTTACATTTGTAGCACCAGTTATGGGCAGAGTTGAATACTAACTCAAGATTAAACCTCTTGCCATTTCCCTAATGCGAAAAGATCTTATTTTCTATGAGTATTAAAATTTTGCTTAGTGTCATTTGTTATAATACATATTACAATTCAAATTAGATAAACAGAACTTTCAAATAAACCTAATAAGTTTCTTTTGTCTTTCCAAAACACTTTATAGCAATAAATCCTTATCTTATATGTCACCTGAATTAAGAGATACTTAAACTAATGGCTAAAACCGTCAGTCTAGAGACACTGGGGAGAAGGTTAGATGAAAAATCCTGTGTCATTCAATAATCCGAAAGTACATTAATGTCATGGCTTCTACTACAGCAAATTAATATAACAAGTCACAGCAGGAGCAAGAGGAGGCGGCTAAATGGAGGAAAGTCATCTTCTAGAAATAACACGACAGTTCTCTCTGGCACTACAATGCTGCATCTTAGAACACACAACATGGAGGGTAAAAAACAAATGATGATGCAGTACACTGATATTGAATTTTTCAAAGATAAATTTAAAAAGGAAAAAAGGGCACATGCGTGGTCCTACCACAATGTCAGTGCCTAGTCCACAGTGAGGGTGACAAGAAGTTAGCTTCCTTAGGACCAAGGAGGCAACCTCGCACCTGCAGGAAGGCTTGTTGCCCCATCCATAGGAGGAATAAGCTTCCTGTTACGGCTGCAACTGCTAAGAAGCCAGCCTTGCTGCGGTTTCTCCCAGACATTTTATAGATACCGTGTGGCTGACAGGGTCTTGGTGCTCCGGTCGGGTGTCAGGCCTGACCCTCTGAGGTGGGAGAGCCGAGTTCAGGATATTCGTCCACCAGAGACCTCCTGGCTCCATGTGATATAAAACAGCAAAAGCTCTCCCAGAGATCTCCACCTCAACACTAAGACCCAGATGCACTCAACGACAGCAAGCTACAGTGCTGGACACCCTATGCCAAAAAACTAGCAAGACAGGAACACAACCCCACCCATTAGCAGAGAGGCTACCTAAAATCATAATAAGGTCAGAGGCACCCCAAAACACACCACTGGATGCGGTCCTGCCCACCAGAAAGACAAG